AACCAACATAATGCCCAACAGAAGACATACCACCATAACTTGGGATCAGGTGGCTACCCGACTGCCATTAAGAAGTGGAACAAAATGGAAGCGCATCTTTCTTGCCAAGGGTATCACACCGAATCACTCGAGTGGGGAGAGCGTGCAAAGAATTGATTTTTTTCGCTCATGGGGAACACTTTGGACCAGAGACAGGGGAAGTGCGTTTATGGCGTAAGACTGCAAGAAGCAAGCAGAAGATTGTTTTATGCTCGAGAGCTATCAAGCTAGTGGTGCGTTCGAAGCCCAACAGAGAGAAGGATGAGTGACATACGCCATCGGGACTATTGAACATGGTGGCGAACTAGAGGCAAAGGAAGTGTCTCATGGGAGCATGGATTCCCTCAGATGCACCTTCCTCTGAAGCCGCCAGAGAAAGAAGGAAGAAGAGGCACAGCTGCTCCGAGAGGTTGGAGGAAGCGGTGCGTGAAGCACAGAGGCGGGAAAAAAAACCTTGAAGCGAGAATGCAGGAGAGAAATCGGAAGGCAAGTGCAAATAGCGGTGAGTGCAAGCAAGCGAGCATCGAGCCGAGGAATCAACATTAGCCAACTGCTCTCGCTTGAAAAGCAACAAGCTTCCACGGAGATACCAAATCAAGGGGACACAGATCGCGCTTCCCTCGTGGATGACGCCATCAACCTTGTACAACGTGTGAGCTACACATTCAAGGGGAATTCCACAATCAAGGTGGCTATCGGTCTTGTTAATCCTATCGACCAAACCAAGACACCAAGGATTCATGGGAATATAATCCAAGAAGGATATGCTACCATCTCGGTAGATAAAGTGAAAAAGGTTTTAGTGATTTGCCTCTTGACATTCCTCGGAGGTGATGGCGAGAAGACTCTAGGAGAAGCGGAGAAGACATTCATTCTATGGCGCAAGCGCTACATTATCATTCCGGGGATGTCGGCTCCACCTCCTCCCGAACTACCTCACCATAGGTACGTCATGGATGAAAACACTACATCATTAATTTGTATTGGCTTAAATAATTAACAATCTGCTCATAATAATATATCATTCCTTTTTTGTAGCGCAGATCCTCCCCAACCTAAATCCAATTGTTCAATCACCAGATCATCATAGTGCTCAGACGATGACATTGTGTTGGAAGGCGAGGCACATCCACACCATCTCCAAGGAGGTCTCAACGCCGCAGCCTGCCACCTCCAAGGAGGTCTCCAACGCCACTGCCAACACCTCCAAGGAGGTCTCCAACGCCTCCCCACCCCGCCTACCATGAAGCCTAGCAAGAGGCCAGCCCCTCAAACGAAGAACCAGTCCCCGCCTGCAAAGAAAGCCACCGTGAAACCAAGGGCTATTCCCAAAATAATATTTGAAGAGAAGGAAGAAGGAACTGATGCATATAAAAAAGATATGTCTAGATTCTATGACAAACTTAAAAAGAATCAAGAAGCAAGGAGAAACCCGGAGAAACCGTACTTATTAGTAGCTCCAGATATTCTAAAAAAAAGGGTGGCTTCTTACCAGCAACAACAGCGGGAATCTCGTAAGTCGTCCAAATCAATGTTATCGGACTATGACCGCACTCTCACCAAGTCAATTGAGGCGGCACAGAAAAAGAAGCGGGCAGGGAAAGGAGTTGCCCAACTCGGACAACAAGCGCACCAATCAGTCCCCCCGCTAGTTGTTGGTAATGAATATGGTTCGAATTTAGGATTAATGCATCAGGCAAACATACCTCCGGATGTCGATTTGGATCACCTTGGTGAATTTATTGATGAGATTGGTCTCGACCTTTACCAGATGTTTGGTGATGGAAACATTGAGAGTGCGGTGGAGGTTGATATTTGGAAGAAAAAATTTGTACTAGGCCAGGGTCTATACAATCCTCAAGCCTTATCTGATCTGGGGACGCAAATGTACCTGCTAAACAAGTGGTACATGCAGGCGTCTACCGGTGGAGACTTCTGCGTTGGTGTCAGAATTTGAGACGAACATTGGTTCCATGGCGATGATGTTATGTATGTTGACTTTGCAGAATTTCATCAACTATGCCACCTGACCTCTCTGGACAAAGTTATCATTAGCTTCTATTGCCTGTAAGTAATAATTCTTTCGATCTATTATTAAACTCATCATATGTGTGTATATGCATATAAATTATCCTAACAAGTACTATATATATGTAGATTTACAATGACAGAGCTCGTAAAGGAAGGTCGCAATGAAATTGGTTTTGTTGATCCCCATATAATATTCAAAGACCCAATTACTCCAAAGACTAATTGGAAGTCCGAGTCGAGAGTAACCTCATGAACTTCTTAGTGAACCAACGCCACAAGAAGGATATACTATTTCCTATAACTTCAAGTGAGTGTTAATAATATCGATCATCCTTAATAGCTCATATGTTGATTCTAGTTAATTAATGAGTGTTATGCGTTATATCCTATAAACACATGCAGCAATCCTTTGGATATTGATGGACATCGATCGGTGAAAAGTCACTTGATAATCTATGACTCGATGAGAAAACCACAACAAGACTACCAAGATATGATAGATATTATCCGTAGGTAATTTCGGGATCTCTAGCAATTATATATACACACAAACATGATGATTAACTATATCTAATGACGTGGCAAATTTTTTATTAGGGCGTTTTGAAAAACCTTTATTGAGAAGCAACACATGGAAAAATGCAAAGCGCCACTTGAATGTAATCCCTTTGAAAGTAAGTCCCCGAATCGCATCATCTTTATTAATTAAACATATAGCTTTCACCGGATCACCAGATTGGATGACAAATCTTTTTCTCGTAAAGTGGTGTCTGAGGCAGGAACAGGGGAACAACTACTGTGGTTACTATGTTTGCAAGTTTATCAAGGTGATCTCCCAAAGAACTCCTACAGAGAGACTCAAAGTACGTTAAAAATACACTATATATTCATTTAATTATTATTATTGATTGTGTTACTATGTCTTTATATAAATATATGTACATATATTAATTTATTTTCCTTTAATTCAAACCTGTAGACTCGATGGTTGGAGGAAAAGGTCATACGGCAAGACCAAATCAAAGCAATTCAAGAGTCTATAGCTGGATTTTTTAATGAGCAGGTCATCGATTCCAAGGGTTAGTTCTACTTCAACCCAACACTGCCATGGAAGCCAAGCTAGAGGATGAGAGAAAACTTGTTATATCACAATAACTGTAATGCAATCTTTTTGTAATATATGCACATGAAATAATATAATGTAAAATACACATATGCATGCATGCATGTAAATATATATATGATGCATATATATATATATATATATATATATATATATATATATATATATATATATATATATATATATATATATATATATATATATATATATATATATATATTTTCTATGCTTGAATTGTGTGATTTAATACGTTCATTGTGCTTGAACCGAAACATACTATACGCGCGTATAAATGTATAATTAGCAGCGTACAATACGACTTCGAAAACAAAAAAAATGAAAAGAAAAGAAAAAAGAAAAAAACCTTTAATCCCGGTTCAGATTACCAACCGGGACTAAAGGTGCCGCCATCGTGGCATGTCAGAGGCACCTTTAGTCCCGGTTGAGTTGTTATTTACCGGGACTAAAGGTCCTCCTTAGTCCCGTTCTGACCCGACTAAAGGACCCTTTAGTCCCGGATGCTTGCTCCCGGGTGGGGAACCGGAACTAGAGGGGGTTCCCCACCGGGAGTAAAGCTCGGTTCTCTACCCGTGCCTGTAGTCCTCCACACATCTTCACTACACTGAATGTGAGAGGTTCAGTCACTGCCTGTCTGCTCTTGAACATTGAAACGAACCATAATTTCCAAATAGAAATTCTTATCTTTTTGCCCCTATGTGATAGTCAGCTATCACGAGCAACATGTCTCGTTCAGACCTAGTTGTACACCCACCACCTAAGTTGTTGAGGTAAGCCTTTATTAGACATTATGCAACATAACTTAAGCCAACATAAACGTGTGTAAATGCCTTGGTGTTTAATAGTTCTACACAAGCAAGCCGTTTGATAAAATTATGCTTTGTTGTTTATGGTTTGTTGCATGTAGTCACATTCATGTTGTAACTGAGGTCTCATGTTTCTAGTAGAGATACAGCGATACAAATTTTTTTTTTTGTGTGCAGCATCGGCTTGTGCAAACCTGCTTGATCTAATACAACCAAGTTTGTGTACTAAGGGCTTATTTGGTTGCCGCTCACACTTGGCCACTCCAAAGTTTAGTCGTTTATCATACCTGTGGTTTGCTACATTGTGCAGTGCCCTTGCGTGGTACTGGCTACATGTCCTGGGGCCAAGTGTGTCCACGAAGTAGGAGGCGTGTGGTGGCTGCGTTTTGTGCAAGATGCGGAGAAAAAGCACACCCCACGTCTGACTAAAAAAAACAGTGGCAAATGCTTCTATTAGAAGGGCGGGCCTTACTTCAGCATTTAACCAAACATCTACCAAAGCACATGTGGCAAGTCGTGGCAGGCAACCCAGACAACCTCTAGATATGCATTTACTCTTAACTTAAAAAATTGTGCTCGGCACATATTAAAAAATTATGCTTGGCACATATAAGGGTTTGAAATACTAATTGGGTATGAAGTATAGATGCACCTCGTCTTTAGCAAACTATTTTCTAAAATAGTATTTTTTTAACTTGCCAATCGGCTTAAAAAGTTACTGCACAAATTCACTATATTGCGAGTAAAAATCTCACGATAGTTGCCCGGTTAGCCCCACTAGCCTCTGACAAAATGGTTGTCCCACGTGTCAGATTGAGAGAGTGTGAGACCAGGCAGGGCTTGGCTTTGAAAGGTCAAATCTCGTAGAAGCCTAGTCGCCCCCGACCCCGTGGCGAGGAGCAAAAACAAAGGTCAGTCGAGCAAGACTCTCCTCCCCGAGGCGGGGATCCCGGCGACCGGCGCCGCGACGCTGCTCGGCAGCAATGGACACCAGGACAGGAAGCTCCGCTGATCAGATTCGTGACGCGTCTCTACCTGTTTGCTCTCGCAACGGGGCCAAGGCGTCCCGGTCGCTGGCGGCGGTGGCGAAGACCAGGTGTTCGACGAAGTGCGTCCCTGGTTCGGAGGCACCAAGGCTCGACGAGGCGCAGGATCCGCAGCACCTGCTTTGGGCGGACCTCCCAGCGGACATCATCGGCGTCGTGGCCGCTCGCCTCACCCTCTTGGAGGACCGCGCCAGGCTGCGCTCCGTCTGCCGCGCGTGGCGCGCCGCGGCGCGCATCCACCGGCGGCTGCCGCCGTGCCCGCCCCTGCTGGTGCTGTCCGACTTCTCGTTCTTCAGCTTTCGCTCCGAAGGGACCATGATGGGCGCGTGTCGCCGCGTCCCGCTGCCGGAGAGGGAGACGGCAGGGTCTGGCAACGTCCGCTGCGTGGGCTAGTTCGAGGGGTGGCCTCGTGGGCGTGAAGAACAACAAAAGTCGTTACTTTGGCGACCTCCGGTGCTTCCTGATGAACGCTTTCTCCCAGGTTGTCATCCTCTCCCTCCTCCTTCAGGTCGTTCAGGAGCTGCGCGCTCTGCCGATACCTTCAGCAAGTCCCTCCCCATCATCAGTGGCTCTGGTGTGGTGAATTGCGCGATCAACACTGCACCCTGCGTCATGTCATTCAGCAAGGTCATCTTATCCTCCCCACCGGACTCCGGTTCCATGTGTGTTGTGGTTGCCCTCTCCGACATCAAGAGTGCTGCTAAGCTTGCTCTCTGGCGGTCTGGGATGAAGTCATGGTGCGTATGTGATGGTGCCTGGACAGCTGATCTCATTGATATTATCTTCTGCCAGGGGAAGCTATTCATGCTCAGTTGCAGTGAAGTCGCCGCAGACCTCTTGGTCTTTGAGATCGCTGATGACAACAGTGTCTTGATGGTTTCTCATGTCGAATGTTGTGCAATTGAAATGCCAGAGGTCAGTGATAGCCTTTGTAAGAACATTTGGTGCATACTAGAGTGGCGTGGAAAACTATTAATTGTTGAGATATGCCATCGCAATGATGAATTTGGGGAAAGCTTTGTTGAGGTTAGAGTATTTGAAGCAGACTTGAGCACAAATCCTGTAAGATTAACTGAGATTGAGAGCTTGGATGGCGACTGCATCTTCATCAGCCCATGCAGCAGCAAGTCATTCCGTCCGTGTCATTATGGTGAAGGTGGAGGTGATCTTATCTATATCTTTTTGTTGGGTCACCTCCACCGGTTTGTGTACAACATGAAAGATGGTACTATGGCACCATTTGCTGCAGACATACCAGAGGACAAACTTGGGGAAGCAGATGGTAAAGTGATGAATTCAACATTTTATTTCCTCCTGAATGAACTTCTGGAGATCAACTCTGTTAGCCCGATCCTTGTTAATGTTTTACCACCGATAGCCTGCCACGGGGGTCCCCGGGGCAGTTTGTTCGGGTTTCAGCGTATGCGGAACTCGACGGTAAACGCAAGAGACAGTCGATTTATCCTTGTTCGGACCCTCGGTTGCGATCGAGTAATAGCCCTACGTCCAGTCGGTGTTAGCCTTACGTTGGATTGATTATGGAGTGTTCCTTTTTTTCCTCTAGAAACCCCGCCCTCCTTTATATAGTCAGGAGGTCAGAGTCCTAGTCGGTTTACAATGAGAGTTCCTAGTAGAATTACAGAATAATACTACTACTAAGATTCCATGAAAAAAATCATAGTTAGACTAGATCTTCTCTCTTCATGGCGGGGTACCCTGTGGGTCCCGCGTCGACAAGCCCCCGAGCACTTCATGGTTGAGTTCTGGAAGCCTTGTCTTGTTCCTTCAGGTCTTGCCGAGTAGAAACAAGCGTCGACCGAGTGCTTTCTTGAGTGAAACCATGTAGAGCTTCCTGGGATCTTCGAGCTGGGTGTAGCCCCCGAGCCTCTTGCTATTTGGAACAAGGAGCTGGAGGGTTTTGTCTTGAAATTGCTCTGATTCTTCGTCGAAGAATTCCCGAGTATACACCCGGGTTCTTTATCAAAAAGAACTTGGATATATTGTGAGGTCTTGAAGTGGTCTGTCCTAAAGAAGTCTTCTTGGCGACGTGCGTTTTTTCGAAGAAAAAAGTGCACCCACTGAGTGTAGTCCCCGAGCCTCTTGCTATTTGGAACAAAAAGTTGGAGGGTCTTGAATCTTATGTTGTTTGACAACTCTTGTCTTGAAGAAGTCTTTTGAGTGATGTGGGCTTTTTTGAAGAAAAAATGCACTCACTGAGTGTAGCCCCCGAAGCCTTTTGCTATTTGGAACAAAAACTTGGAGGGTCTTGAATCCTGTGTTGTTTGACAACTCTTGTCTTGAAGGAGTCTTTTGAGTGATGTGCGCTTTTTCGAAGAAAAAGTGCACTCACTGAGTGTAGCCCCCGAGCCTCTTGCTATTTGGAACAAAGAGTTGGAGGGTCTTTGATCTGAGTTATTCAAAGAACTAAAAACCTTTCCTGTTGCAGCCCCCGAGTATATATCTGGGTTCTTTTATTCAAAAAGAACTCGGATCCAGGATGTTGGCGTATTCTCTGGTAGTCTGCTGTTGTCAGATGTAGAGTCTGCTGTTGTCAGATGTAGTTGTATGGTAGTGGTTGAGTGTAAATATCGTTTGTTCACGGGTTGTACAGTGTTGGTATATTCTCCCGAATATGCTCATTGTTGAGTACTGTTCCTTCACGCCTGAGTCCTCTTTCATTGAATTCTGTCTTTTCACCGTGTCCTTTGTTAGGTTTGTTCCGTTGGTGCTCCCGGTCCATGTGCATCGCTTCTTTGGTCTATAAATATCCTCCTTGTGTGCTGTTTTGATTCATCGAGCATTTTATTGTGTTGTCTGAAATCTCCGTAGTCATGAATATGATAGTTTGTGAAGTAGAGCAGTCCACGGGCGTATTTTGTAGTTCTTGTACATCTTGTCGTAGCTGGAGGAAGTCTTGTGATAGGGATTAAAGGTAGACTAATCCCGCAGCGGTATTGTTCCAGGGAGTACGTGACAGTAGTCGGAGGAAGTCTTGTGATGTGGGATACGTTCCTTCATCCAGCAGTTCTGGGTTGATCCTCGTCGCCTGCCCTGAGACTGTCTGGTGCAGATCAACACCATATCCGGTATCACATCGGACTTGGGTAGACAGATGCCTGCAGGCTCCTCTTGGTCTACGTTGTCCCGCCGTGCTGCTGATCTTCGCCTTGGATGTGCTGCTTTCTTCCTTTGAAGAAAATAGTGTAGACGAGTGTGGTTTATTCTACCGAGTAGCAATTTGGAACACGTAGTCGTTCTAGAGCCTAATTGTGTCCGGGTTCCTTTTCGCTACCTTGCCTGTCGTAGTAACGAGTTCGTTGGGTCTTGTAAGATGTGTAATCTTGTATTTTTTGAAGTCGTTTGTAATGGAAAGAATCTTGTCTTCTGAGTTGTCATTCTTTATTCTGCTGATGTCCCAGTTGTTTATGAGATTCTCGAGTTCTTTTTATAAGGACTGGGTTGTTGTGTTCCTTGTGAGGTAACCTTTTGTTGCTTCATGGCTGATGAGTTCTTTTTGTAGCAATATGATAACTTTGTCATGTTGCTGGATGGATAAGTCCAAAATCTGCCCGTTGAACTATACCGTTGTGTGGATTTGTGCCTTTCGTTATTTTAGCTGTGTCAATAAATGGACCATTGTGTTTTCATGCCGTTTTTAAACGGGCCTGGTGGACCATGTTTTTATTGCTGTAAATTCTATTTAAAGGCCTTTCTTCTTCTTTTTCTTTACTGCCCTGCTTTTCTCTTGAAACCCTAGTCTTCAAAATTCCGCCGCCGCCATTGTCGCCGTCCTCTGAGCACTGCCGCCTGAGCCTCACTGTTTCTTAGTTCTTTTTTTGCTTCCACTAGTAGATGGGTAGGAAGAAATCAGCGAGTAAGTCCCTGACAACCTTTGTATATGAGGAGGCATCACTTTCTGTGATCGAGAATCAAGAATTCATGGCCATGAGGGCTACTCAGAAGACCTGGCCGGCTCCGACTATGACTGAAGATCAGTTGTGCGAGCTTGTTAGCGATGGTCTGATCCAGAGCAAGGACATTGTTGATTGGAAAGCTCCGGGCGAGCATCGAGTTCCAACTCCGGGTCCTGGTGAGATTGTTCTTTTTGTCTCCTTCATCCGTGCCGGACTCTGCCTTCCTACTTCTGCTTTTCTTCATTGATTCCTTGGTTATTTTGGGATTAGCTTGAACCATCTTGCTCCTAATGATGTCCTCCATCTTTCTGTTTTTGTTCATCTTTGTGAAACTTTTCTTGGAATTCCTCCTTCTCTTTCTCTCTTCCGTCACTTCTTCCGTCTGAAGCCCCATCCCCGTCGCGATGACACTCATGTTCTTGGTCTCCTTCTCTTTCTCTCTTCCGTCACTTCTTCCGTCTGAAGCCCCATCCCCGCCGCGATGACACTCATGTTCTTGGTGGCTGCAGGATTCAGTTTCGTCAAGGTCTTAAGAATAAATTCTTTGATTATGACTTGGTTGATTTTGTGAGGGATTGGCGTGCCGACTGGTTTTATGCCGCCAACATGATTCCTCCTCTTGCTATTCATTCTGGATCTGGTCCCATGGTTAATGACCGGTGGGAAAAGAATCCCCTCACGATGGCTGAGCTCCAGGCGATCAAGCCGTTTCTTGAGAGAATATATACTCTGAAACAGCAAGGCTTGACCGGCTTCGGGATTATTTCTAGTTTTCTTCGCCGCCGTGTTCAGCCTCTGAAGGAGCGGGAGAATTTTGGGTTTCAGTACTCTGGGGTGGAGGACCCTTCTCGTATGGTCCCTGTCCTTGAGTTGACAGATGAGGAGGTGCTCGAGCGTCTTCAGAAGATGCTAAAAGGAGTAAGCGTCGTCCCGCTTGCTGTCCTTGAGTACAGTGCTAACAACCCGCCTCCTGTTGTGAGTTGTTTTCTTTCTTATGCGGGTACTTTTTTTATTTCCTGATGAGGACATCACCACGCTGGACACACCGACGCCATGGTCTTCCCCAAGTTGCAATTCATTCCCAACTCAGCTGCCACGTCACCCTCGGATTCAGCAGACACGTCGTCACTGTTTCGGTCATAACTTCCTCATACGACGTCGAAACGGGCCGTTCTTGGATGCGTTAGAAAGGGGACGACGACGCCGTCGTTTTGGATCTGGTCCCAGCTCCAGAAGGTCCGTGGATCATTCTGTGTGACCACGACAAGGTGCTGCGTCACCTATTTGGGCCAACTTGGCCATGTATCGTGTCGGGCCTTAAGCCCAAGTTGTGGGCGCCCAACCCCTGGCCGTCCCCAACCCTAGGTCGAGTCTTAGACTATAAACACAGCCGCCGCCGCTGCTACACAATTGGGTTTTGTTTAGAGTTTAGTTTTCCATCGAGAAACTGAATCGTTCATTGTAACTGTGGTGACAAATCCTTTTACAGTGATCCAGGGCCCCCGTTCTTGATCTCCTCCACTGTGTCGATTAATCCTTTGGAACCGAGTTCTTGAACCCTCTATTGATATTCGTGTCATTCATATTTGCAATTTCAGATTATGTGTTTTACCTTCTTGCTTGTGCTCTTGATTCGCTTGCGTGAAAAGCCTTCTTGGCGAGGTCAATCAAGTTGTGCTTGGTTGATAACCAACGGAGCGGTGGTATAACGGTTGCAGGGTTCGAATCGTGTCTGATTTGAAGCCGGATCGCCAACGTCGAGATCTCCACAAATCGAACTTACCGGCTACCTCTCGGAAGATCGGGCCGTATTCATCAATTGGTATCAGATATTTCAGGTTTACCGCGAGGTATAATCTCGTTTGCCTTAGATTCATATTTGTTCATTACCTAGAGTCCACAAAAGCCCAAAAATATTTCAATTTCCGCTGTCCTATCGCCCTTTGTGCCTTTGCAATTTCGTTTCAGATTCGTGTTGTTGAGTTTGTGTCCGTGGTCGAGTCTTGTTGCTGGTTTAGGATTGTGTTCGTGGTCGTAGTTCAATCGCCTGTTGTTTGTGATTTTGTTTTCCGCCGCTATCCCATCCATCGTTCCCACACAACAAGTCGAAGCCACCACATTACTCGACTTGCCCTGCTAGCCGCCGCCTTGTGTAACTTCTCGCCCGCCAAGAAACCCTACATAGGTTGCCACCGCTCTTATTTTGCTCGCATCGCAGCCCTCCTTACATCATCGGTAATATACCCTACTGTGTGATCGGTGTTAGAGTTTAGGGACGCTTTGCCCTAACTTGCCGCCGCCCGAGTGTTGTGCCTCCCGAAAAACATACCTTGAGATACCTTTGGTAAAACAGGCATAACTTTTCGCTCGTTTATCAAAAAAATCTGAAATTTTTTCAGCAGCTTCTTGACACCATTTAGAAACGAC